GTGATGGTGGTGGTGGTGGTGGTGGTGGTGGTGATGGTGATGTTTCTCGAGGATGTTACTATTCCTCATGACTTTACCAACATGAAAAGATGTCGCATGTTTTGCCGACGACACACACAGTTACATAAGGCAGGAGGTCATGATGATCTCTAAGACGACTAGATACAAATGTCTGCAGGAATGTGTGTGTCTGGGACATAGCAATGGATGAGAGGTGATAAACTTGAACTTTATGACATGAATAACCCAAAACATGCCATCGTACCCCAGCATCTAAATAGAGCAAATAGCAATGGTCAGATCATTTAACGGGCATCAAAAAGGAAAGAATCAGGAGCCATGTTTGGACAATCTGGCGATGGCACGTACTATTTCAGTGTGTAAACGCCTCAAAGATTAACTGAGGAAAACACGCAGCTTGAGATCCTTCCTCACAAAACTAGTGGCAACAAAGCTGGTAACTTCCCTTGTTCTTTTAGTGTCAAACACAGTTTTACGGCACTTGCAACACAATAAGGTCATATAAGTGCCAAAGATTCATTGATTGCTTATCAAATACCAAAATATAAAATTATTGTTTTTAGATTGCCATCATGTGTTTTAAATGTATTATAAAAAATCAGTATTTGCCTGAGCTATTGCAAGCTTGCCATCATCCAGAACGCTGAGGTCATCAACTGACAACAAGATTGTCATGCCACGGGTCACGTTGGAATATTTTGAGGAAAAAGCAATATTGTTTTTGCTTTTGTTTTTCATTCTGGGCGCACCATCTGGCACACCATTCAGTACAAAACCAGGCACACAGCGTGCTACTTTGACCCTGATCCAAAAAGAGCCAGACAAATCATTCTCTTTGTGAACAACCCAATTTGTGACCCACACCATCTGTGATCACAGTTTATTACTGTCACCTCTAATGCAAACTTTCTTTTTGTGTTATTAATGTTTGTAACTGTCTGTCTAGATGGTTCATTTCTCTTTCTACCTGTCTGGATCGATAACAACAACTCTTTCTACCTGTGGACTTTATTGCATGTTAAGTAGTTTTTGGTTATTTTTAACAGGGATTTTTTTTTCTTTGCGTTGGCAATTATTAAGGTTGGAACACCCTGTAAATATGCATGTCATAACATTTTCACTGACTACATTATCTGGGGAGACTACTGATCCATTTCAAAATGTGGTGACATACTTGTTATTGTTGCTATTATAAAGGTTGGGACGCCCTGTTCCTATAGGCTACATGTCATAATAGTTTAACCAATTACATAATTAGTGGCGACTACTGATCCATTTCCAAATGTGGTGACATATTGTGTAGCCATAAAGCATGTTTGTGTCGCTTTAATCCGACGAGTCGACTAATTTCTCTGTCCTATTGCGAGTTGTCAACAAAAATCACGCTCTTTTGTGACAGATTGAGTACGGTATTGATAAAAAGTGGCCGATAGGTTACTTCACAATGGTGGTGGATGTTGTACAATGGTGGTGGATGTTGTACAATGGTGGTGGATGTTGTACAATGACGGTGGATGTTGTACAATGACGGTGGATGTTGTACAATGACGGTGGATGTTGTACAATGACGGTGGAT